GACCATTTAGTGTGACGTTGGTTGTTGGTTTGTCATAGAAGGCTTTTATCAGATTGAGATAAAGACCTTCTATTCCAATTTTCTGTAGGCTTTTATCACAAATGGGGGTTGGACTTTGTTAAATGCTTTTTCTGCCTCTATGGAGATGATTATGTGGTTTTTGTCCTTGGCTCTGTTAATATGGTGTATTAAATTTATTGACTTGTGTATGTTGAGCCATCCCTGCATCCCTAGGATGAATCCTACTTGGTCATGGTGTATAATCTCCTTGATGATTTGCTGCATTTTGTTCCTCAGTATCTTATTGAGGATTTTTTTTTTTTTACATTCATTAGGGATATTGGCCTGTAGTTCTCTTTTTTTGGTTGGATCCTTTTCTGGTTTTGGTACCAGGGTAATGCTTGCTTCCAGGAATGACTTTGAGAGTATTGCTTCCCTTTCAATTTTATTAAAGAGGTTAAGGAGTAGTGCTGCTAGGTCTTCTATAAATGTCTTGTAGAATTCAGCAGTGAGCCCATCAGGACCTTGGCTTTTCTTTGTTGGTAGATTTTCAATTACCCCTTCAATTTCATTAACTGATACTGGGTTATTTAGAATCTTTGTATCTTCTTGATTAAGTTTTGATAATTCATGTGTTTCTAGGAATCTTTCCATTTCTTCTGTGTTTTCCATCTTATTAGAATACAAGTTCTCGAAGTAGGTATTAATGATCTCCTGAATTTATGTAGGGTTCATTATAATTTCACCCCTTTCATTCCAAATTGCATGAATTTGAGTTCTTTCTTTCTTGCTTGCTTTTTTTCTTCTGTTCTTTCTTTTTGGATAAGTTTGCCAAGAGTTTGTCAATTTTGTTAAATTTTCAAAGAACCAACTCTCAAATTCCTTGATTCTTTGTATTGTTTTCTTAGCCTCCATTGCATTAATTTCTGCTTAATTTTTGTAATTTCCTCTGTCACACAAGCTTTGGGCTTGACTTGTTCTTCTTTTTCTAGACACTCGAGGTTCAACATTAGGTTATTTATTTGAACTTGTTCTGTTTTTCTGATGGAGAACTTACCACTATAAATTTCCCTCATAGAATTGCTTTCATTTTATCCCATAAGTTCTGGTATGTTGTATTGGCATTATCATTTAATTGTAGAAATGGACTGATTTCTTTTTTAATTTCATCTGTGACCCACTGGTTTGTTCAGAAGGGTGTTATTTATTTTCTGTGTGTTTATGAAGTTTTTTTGGTTTCTTATGCCATTGATTTCCAGTTTCATTGCACTGTGCTCTGATAATATGCATGAGATAATTTCAATTTCTTTGCATTTACTTAAGCATGTTCTATGAGAAATATGTGGTCTGTTTTGAAGAACATCCTGTGTGCAGCTGAGAAGAATGTGTATTCTGATGTTGTGGGGTGGAATACTCTATAGACATCTAAATCCATTTGTTCAAAAATTTGGTTTTGTTCTGAAATCTCTTTGTTGATTTTTTGTCTAGTTGATCTGTCTATTTGTGACAGTGGACTATTGAGGTTCCCCTCAGTGGGGCATAGTATTAGTGCTTATTTGATTTTTCATGTCCATTAATATTTATTTTATATAGCTGGGTGTGCTGGTATTTGGGCCATATATTTATGATTGTTATCTCTTCCTTTTTTTTTTTCTTTTTGGTACCGGGGATTGAACTTGGGTCCTTGCACTTGCGCAGCAGGCAGTGAAACCACTGAGCTAAATCCCCGGCCCTATCTCTTCCTTTTTAATTGTTCCCTTAACAAGGATGTAGTGACTTTCTTTGTCTCTCTTGACCAGTTTTCTTTTTTAAAAAAACAGTAATAAATCTTTATTGAGATTTTTTAACAAAATAATTTTAAAAAACAAAATACCTCAGGTATAAACAAGAAAGTAAATAAAGTTAGATGACATTATTATGTACATCCAAGAATCAGAACATGTTCTGGGTTAACATTCCATAGTCCCGTAGAATGTTTTCACTCATCACTGCTCAGGGCAATTGAGAATTCTTTAAGACTATCAATAATGAATCCTAATTTTTTTTTTCCCCATTAAGTTTATTGGTACATTTTTGGTATAAAATATAGTTACATTCATCATTGGGATCTTGTACCTTTATGTGAGTATCTTGGTTCTTATTTTTTTCCCCTTCCTTTGCCCTCCCTTCACCCCCTCCACCCTTCCCTATTTGCAAAGACCTTGTTTCCATTTTTTTTCCTCTTTTCATATTTTTTCCTTTCCCTTTTTTTCCCTTCCCCACCCCTCCCAATTCCCCTGGTCTTTTAGACCTTTTCTTCCTGTTACACAATATCAGTTATACATTTTTAAAATTACAATATCAAGATCTAGGAGACATTACCACAGATTTTACAGAATTTAAAAGGATATAGAAAGCATATTTCAAAAATCTGTTTTGAAATAAATTTGACAACTTCTTAGAAGTACCTTGGAAGACAAATTAATGAAACTAACTCTGGAGGAAATATAAAATTTGAATAGCACCTATTAAAGAAAGTATATTCCTAGCTTGAAAACCTACCTATATGACAACAGCAGGCTCATAAACATTTTCACTGATAAATTATATCAAACAATTAAAGCAGCAAAAAGAAGGAACACTTCTCCCCTCATTTTAGGAACTCAACATTGTGCTAATCCTAAAACTGGATAAAGATAATAGAAGAAAAAAGTATGAACATAGATAGAAATTTGTTTAACAAAACAAACTATCGGAAGTCAGATCTGGCAGGATGTAGAAAGTGGTTTTGTTATAGGGATAACAAAAAAAGGGATTAGAAGCAAGACTGCAAGACAAAGGAAGAATACATAAGCTTTGGGAACTGGTGAAGAAAATAGGAGGGAAAGAAAAAAGAAGAAACAGAGACAAGAACAGAAATAAAACTAGAAACAATGTTCTCAGGCATATAAAAACAAGAACAATCAAGAAAATAGAAAAAATAAAAAAATTTAAAACTAAAAAAGCAAAGAAAGGAAGAAAAGTAGAAAAAACTACATCCACTTCAGGATGTGTTTCTGCTATCACTGGTTGACAGAGGGAGCAGACAGAGCTCAGATCCATGTTGATTGATCCCAGCAAGCCAGTAGTAGAATTATGGTGGTGATGGATAATTCCAGCAAACCTCGGCATTTAGTTCCACTGATGTTCAGCCTGCTTCTGGTCTCTGGCGGTGAGGCTGGGACCTGAGATTTTTAGCCTACAGCACTCTGAGTACCTCCTGCTGGCTTGAACTTGGCTCCCTGTCAGCTTGACCTTAGCACTGATCTCTGCCAGTTTGAACTTGGTTGTGCCTCACCCTGACAGTTGGAGCCACTAGATGGAGCCAACTGGCACCTGCTCTGTTCTGACTTCTGTTGATCCCTTCCAAAATGGCTACCAACCAATCACCCTCTGTCGGGGAATGTCTGAACCTGAATAACTCACCAGCCATTGCAGTCCACAACATCCACTGCTCTGTTCCACTGCCACATTTCTCCATGGAGGCCTCTGTGGTCTAGTAGTCACAATGCCTCCATAGATTCAAGCTGCCCCTCTCATGCTGTGAGCTGGGGTGCAGGGAGAAAGTACCACTTGCCCCATCCTTCTTTTGTGTTGTAGTCCCTCTCTTTGGACTCCCTATGGGCTCTAATTCTTGCTTCACATCCTTGCTTGGTCCTGGGGACCCACCTCCCTACTCCTTCTCTTCCTCACATGGCTATATTCCAGTGTCTGGATTCCAGATATCAGAGAGGGTATTTCTCTGCTGCTTACTATTCCGTTATCTTCTCCAAAGTCTGCAAGAATTAAAAACATAAGGATTAGAGGCAGAAGAGTCTACAATGGCCATCTGTGAGTTTGGAGGTGGAAGAATCCAAAATGGCTGTCTGCACACTGAAGAGCTGGAGAATCCAGGAGCTGTTTGGGCCAAGAAGATGGAGGCAGAGAAAAAGAATGGTCAAGCATGCAGCACCAGCAGAGTTGCTGGTGTGAGTCTGTCAGAAGGCTGAAGAAACTGGAGACTGATGTCCAAAGGTGACAGCAAAGACTGGAGTTCTTCCAAAATGAGCCATAGCTCTATTTTTAATTTTTGAGGAGCATCTATGCTGTTTTTGAAAATAGCTGTACTGATACATTTCCATTAACAATGTACTAGGGTTGTGTGTGTTTTTTTTTTTTTACCATGTCCTCCTCAACATTTTTTTGATCTTGTCTTTTTGAGAATAGCCTTTCTAAAAGGTGTGGATTATGTCTCCTTGTGGATCCAGGGGATGTTTAGTTTTTTCCAAACAAAAAATAGCAGGGAGGTTTCCAGGCTGATGGGATGATACACTCAAAGATAAGAATTCATGAGCGACCATGGCAAACTAAGAAAAGGCCGCATCCCTGGCATGGGAAGAACATTGAATGTTCTAGGAACAGCTTCTCATGAGGCTGTCCTGGGTTGGTTATTTAGGTCAGATGGCAGAGGGCCTGTGTGCTGTGGTAAAGAGGGTGAACTTTATTGTCATGTCACTGAAGAGAAGGGAAATTAAGGCAGAGGAGATGGGAATGTGCAAAGATATTCAAGTGGTATTGAGGTTGCAGAGCAGGTAAGGAAATGACAATTTAAATGTGGTGTGAATGAGTGGTAAGGGTCAAATACAATGGTACCTTGGTTTACAAACAAAACATTTGGCAAAATTTTGTCTTTGTTTGCAAATTTTACATCAGGTGACAAAAACAAATGTGGCCATCTTTTCCACAATCATGGAACAAATTAAGTTCGTGAACCAAGGCATCTCTGTATAACTCTTTGGTTCGGGAAGGAGCTGAAAATTATATTTAGGTAAGGTCCATTTTGACTACTTATTATTTGATTCATAATGATTCTTATTTTCGTCAGTGTCCAGGAACTCAGAGAACAAACAGATTTTAGAAGTCAAGAAATGAAGACTTATTCTTGGAAAATGGCCCACAAGTGAAGATAGCATGATCCCAAGTGAAGGAAAAGAGCCATCAAAGTCATTGCTCAACAATTATTTATTTGATATTTTAATATAATTCCATTTTTCTGCACATTGGTTTTCCTGTGAAGGGTTTTCAGGACAGAGGAGCTATGAATCGACAGTTTTGGACCTTGGGGATCTGTAAAGAGATGACATGCACCTTCTATTTTATGTGACTGGAAACTAGAAAGGCATTGAATTGAAATGGATCCAGTCAATTTTGTGATAATTGGTCAGTGGATAGGACCTCTGGTGAGGGGCAAGAGGTTGATCATGACATCTGTTAAGTGTAGAGATGCCCTCTGTGCCCCTGGCTTCCCTAGCTGCCTTTCTCTGTGTGGCATTCTGGTCTAGACTATGAAGCTTGTAATCCCTGATGCTTTATTCACAGGAGCCAAAGCTCACAAAAGACCAAATTTCCTTTCTTTGGTTATAATGTAAATCTCTAGAATATCTTTCCTGTTTTTGAGTTTTGGGGAGAAGTGTTCTACTTTTCAGTGATCCAACCAAGATTCACCAGTATAGAGGGAAAACCAGGAATGATTTAAATTCCCAAACTAATCAAAACTAAGTACACAATCATTCCATTTGCTACTTAAATTACATTCAACCAGAAAGCCCCATAATTGCTGCTCAAAGCAATTGCTAATTTGCTCTAAAAGAGAATACTTATCCTTAAGAGCATTCTTGAAGGTAGATAGATATAAGGGGAAGACAAACATTTGCAACATTTCAAACAGAAGTAGATATGAACTTGATATATAGGTTTCTTCTTTGGCTTCATGTCGCTTAGCTTGGAATCTCAACAGCCTAGTACCAATGTGATTTCTGCTCTTGTAGATAACCATAGAAGGGATTGGGAGGAATATGAGCTGCCTTGGTAAGATGACCTCTACCCTGTTGTCTTCTTTGATCCTGGGACTCTTGGTACCTCTCTTTCTTCTCATGGGTTTGACTATCTTCTTGTTGCTGATGATTATAAGCCTCTATATGGGTTTGTCTGTCTCTTCTCTGGTGGTTCTGCTCATCTTTAGAGATTTGTCCATACTTTTGTTGATGATGCTGATGCTGATCCTCTTTCCAGGTTTGCTTGTCTTGTCTATGGTGGTTTTGCTTATCTTCATACTTTTGTCTGTCCTTTGTTTGATGGCTTTGTTCCTCTTCATGGGTTTGCCTATCCTGTGCTTCCCATGCACTTTCCTGACCATCATGGCTGTGTCCACCCCAGCTTTGACAACCCTGCTCTTCCTCTGCCTGATGGATTTGCCCTTTGTCCTGGGTCTGTCTGGGTTGGACCTGTCTGTGGCTCTGCTCACTACTGCCTGATTGCCTGTCACTTCCTTTGTGATACAGTGGCCTTTCTTGTTGGATTTGTGATAAGAGTTTGTGTTGGTGGTATTGACTATCCTCCTCTGGCTTGCTTGCATAGTGGCTGCTGTGCTGTTCCTCTCTAGACTGAAATCCCTGTGTCTGGTTTTGATTCACTTCTTGTTCTGGAGTCTGTTGACTTAGTCTCCTTGACTTTCCTGATTGCTCAACATATGAGTCTCTTCTTGTTTCCCCGTTCCCTTGGAAGTATCTGTTTTGTCCTTGTATCTGAGCTTCCCCAGCCTGTGAATGACCATAGTGACAACTCTGTACTTGTCTGTCTGTCTGACTATAGTGACAACTCTGCCCTTGTATGTCTGTCTGCCCATGGTGGCAAACCTGTCCTTGTGTGTCTGTCTGACCATAGCCTGATTTCTGGTTCAGCCTCCCAGACTGTCCATAATAAAAGCCTGATTCCTGTTGGTTGGTCTGATTAGAGCAAGGGTCTTGTGTGAGTCTTCCAGACTGCCCATAGTGTGATTGTTGTCCAACCTTTGCAGAATGAGCATAATGAGGCTCCTGAGCTGGTTTCTCAAACTGATTTAAGACAAAGATATGTCCTTGCTCTTTTTGCTGGCCACTGCTAGACTTATGACTCAGTCTGCGACCTGAGCTAGAGGCTTGACTTTGTCTTTTAGACTGATCAGAGCTATAGTGTTTATCTTGTCTCTCAGACTGATCATGGTGAGAATCCCTATCTTGTCTCTTGGACTGACAATGGTGGGAATCCCCATCTTGTTTCTCAGACTGACCATGGTGAGAATTTCTGTCTTGACTCTCCGACTGGCCAGAGTGGAAGTGTCTATCTTGCTTCTCAGACTGACCATGGTGAGAACTGTTATCTTGTCTCTCAAACTGGTCATAGAAAAAGTCATTATCTTGTCTCTCAAACTGACCATGGTGGGAATCGCGATCTTGTCTCTTGGGCTGACCATAGTGGAAGTCTCTGTCTTGTTTCTCAGACTGATCATGTTGAACATCATGACTTTGTCTCCCAGGCTGACTGTCATGGGAATGCTGTCTTTTACCCACATGCGTCTGCTGGTGTTGTCTGCCTGTGCCTCCTGGAAACTTATGGTCTTGGGTTACTTCATGCCCCTTTTCTTGCTGTGAGGTTCTATCTCCATATGTCTTATTATCTAGCTTATGGTGGCAGGCTTGGACTAATTGGAACACCAACACAAGGTATTCATGAAAGTCAACACATCCATTTCTGTCTCTGTCTAAGTGGTTCAGAATGTTTTCCACAGTCTCTGGGTCATTTGGTTTCTGTGAGAAGATAAGACAAAGAGCAAAATCAGATATTCTCCTATGGATACTAAGAAGTATATGAATGTCTATGCCTCAATGCATTCAGACCCACATGGGCCTTCCTTGATTGAGAAACCATTAATCTAAAATGGCTCAAGCTTGATTCTAGTCTTTAATTAGCTGGTTCTCAGAAGCTCATCTCTTGTTGGACCAATGGGAGCATGCTTATAGGGAGTAGATACACTTATTCAAAATCATCTCTATTAATAATTTGAGTCATTTGAGGAAGTTATTCCACTCCCTTCATCTGCTATATTCTAAATGTTTGTTTATCTACTTCTTTATCATTATATGGTAAGATCCTGGAAAAAAAGGGGAAGCTGGTTTTATTTATGCTTCATGCTAGTAACTAGAATTGTACTGGTATGGAGTAGGTGCTCAGTGAATGGTCAATGAATGACTGAATAAGTAAGTGCATAAGAAGATGTGTCAGGCACTGAACAAGGAAATAAAGATATTTCTGAAAAGTTGTTCCTCATTACTTTGAATTTGTACTGTCTCTTGTTCAAATTCAAATGTAAGGAGGGAGCTCTCTCTCTCTCTCTCTCTCTCTCTCTCTCTCTCTGTGGTGTATTCTAGGGGAAAACTTCTGAAATTCTTTTCGTTACAAGGTGGAGCATTACTAAATAAAACAAAACATGAAATCCTGGGTGTAGGTGTCAGAATCAGCCATGCTAGACTGTGGGGCCGGTGTCTGTGTATCTTACCCGGAGGATGTCTCCAAACTCAGTCAGCAGCAGCTGCTTCAATTCCGTCTTGCACAGTGAAGTACAGTCTCCATTCTCCTTGGCGTAGTTCTGGAACACTCTGATCACACTGAGTATGCTGTTCAACAACTGAGGCATTGTGGCAAATACAGGTGAACCTAAAAGAAGAAACAAGATTGTTGACTGTATTTGGGATGAAGACCAAGAGACAGAATTTCCAGAGGGAAAGTGACCTGTTTTGGTTCGAGAAAGGAATTTAAGAAATGACAGAGCCCCCTTTTTCAGCCATGCCCTCATTTTGACCCACAGTGAGGCTCCAAAGGAGGCTTCGGAGGCGGGTGATTGAGGTGGGTGGGTACAAACTGTTGTCCCCTGCTAGAAAAAGAGGCAACTTCATTAAAAATACAAAGCAAAAAAAAAAGGTATGTTAGTTGTTTTTTGTGTTCTATCCTCTACTCTGGGTGAAACTTGTTTGAGAGAAACTGTCATATTAGAACCACAAAGTATGGCCAGGAAGCACACAGAAGCAGGGGCAGAAGCCAGCATGGTAAGATGGTAGGACATAATTTTCTTTCTTTTTTTTTCCGGTACCAGGGATCGAACTCAGGACCTTGTGGTTGTGAGGGAGGCATGATGCCACTGAGCTAAATCCCCAGCCCAGGACATAATTTTCTGCCAATGACTAGCTTACTGGAGAGGGCCCTGAACAGATCCCATTGAACAGTCCCAGTTTTCTAATGAGTCTTTCTCAAGCAAGGAAGAAGTTTAGCAGTCTCTCTCAACAGACTAAGAATGCTCTCTGAGAGGCTAAATTCTAGCAGGTGCTTCTGGCCTGGATGGTTATTTTGGGACCTGCTTTGAATAGCAAATATGAAAACTGTTACAGATTAAAGTAGCAAGTGGATATGTAGCCAAATTAACTACATAGATGATAATACCATAAATGATTACTGAATATCCAGTTAGGTTCACACTGGCTGTGCAGGGCTGGCATCTTTTGGGATTTGTATGTCAATGATATTTCTTCTTGAGGTACAAATATGCCAGGTGCTGGATTCCAAACTGAAGCCCTAACAGCAAAGTGCTTTGAGCTCCCAAAGGTATAAGTGATGCCTATAAGGATAAGTAGAAAATAATGGATTGCATTGGACAAGCTGAGTCCTTTGTGGCAATTCACTGCAATGAGATTTGAGTATTTTTGAGTCTTCATGGCACAGAACCCTCCACCTCATGAAACTCCTAAACTCCTGGGTCTTGAATAACTTGCAGAAAAGTTAACTATCCTGCTACAGGAGACTCAGCTATCCACAATAGTTCTAGCCCATAGTTTGGGATGCCTAGATCAAACTGAAGCAAATGTATCTATCTTTTCCGAGCTCAGATGTAAGGCACCTCCACAACCATCATCTTCTCAGATAAAGTCTAGAAAAGGAAGCAGAAACATACCCAAAGCCATCACCCACAAGTCTCAGACCTTCTCACCCCAGCACGTTATAGTAAGAGCTTTGCAGATGCTGCCATTGCTCTCATGTATGTCTTACCTGATGAGCAGGAGTGAGCAGAAGATTCAGAAGTCAGAGAGGATAAGGAGACCTGAAAACTCATCTATTTATATGAGTTTAAATTGCCCTCCAAGGACATCCCAGGAAACACCCGTTCTATAGCAGAGCCTGAATCACTCAGGGCCCAACCCCACTCAGTGCAGTACAACCAGATTAACCTCTCCCTTCGCAAGCTGTTCCATTTATTTACTTCCTCCACGTGCTCATGAATCTGTTTGTCACTGGAATAGGTAGCTGCTCAAGTCCTGGCCCCACTTAATTAGGGGAGTGAGTGTACATGTATGCATTCAGCTGTGGGGGTCCCAAAAGGCAGAGGACAGCCTGAGTTCATCCTTAATAAGCGTCACTTGCTAAGGCTAATGAGGAACGATGGTCAAGTCCCACCAAAGTAAGGTATCTGTATGGTCACAATACAAAACTTAGCAAAGTAGGGATTGGCAAGTCTGTGTAATTTGGCTAGGATGTAGATCCTGGAAGAGATTTGTCTTAGAAGAGTGGGAGACAGACATGTGATCGACTTTGGGGTGATGTTAGGGGCAGTGATGATTGTGGAACTGCCACCACTTGATTCTTTAATGTCTTATTAAAAAGTTGAAGTTCCGGGGCACATCAGAAGCTTATGATATCTGTGAGGTAGAGATACTGTTAGAGCTTGTCCTCCATTTATTCTCCATCTCTATATGCATGATATGCCTGCACAGGGTCCTGAAATAGGAGATTCTTAGTAAATGCTTTGAGTAAGAGGATTATTGAATTATGGAAGGACTGGAGAATCCTGTATAAGATGCAAATAATTCTAGACTCACCTGTATTTCTGCTTTTGTCTTACACTAGGTCCCTGGTTGGATCTTTTTCTATATATCCATCAACCAATCAGTTATCAGCAGTGACACTTGCTGGTCAGGATTTTGCAAGGGAATCACAGAAATGCAGAAAGATTTTAGTCCAATTAGGGTAAAGAAATTTCATGTAGACAAAGATTTTGAATCTTAGGGGTGGGATGTGCTGAGTGTTGAGTATTAGAAGACTCGGATGCACGTGGAGTCCTCATGGGCTGGGCCTGAGCTTCCCTTAGAAGGTGAGATTTGCAGTTCCTCAGAATATTCAGGTGGCAGAGAAGAGAGAAAAGAAATTCTGGGTGAGAAGGGAAAGACCAAAGGCACAAGGTGAGAATTTATATGTTGTGTTTGGATTAGGATGAGCTGGCAGGTCTGGCTAAAGCACACAACACATAGAAGAGTAGAATTAGAGAATCTTGGAGTTGAAAGGAGAAATCTAGTCTTAGCTTCTTGGGAAATCACTTCCATTTCGACACAAGGCTATGACAGATGCCAGGCCTTGCACACTTGTTTTCTTACCTCAGCCCAACATTGTTTCTTATACATTCTTTGGTGCACATTTCGGTCTTATTTTAAGGTTTATTTTAATGAGAAATGTGAAGCATGGATCACTTTGGTCAGAAAAGTAACATGATCGAAGCGTTGTTTAGGGGAAGGTTTTAATGGGCCTGCAGTAGGTGGCCAGCTACCTCAGTTTGTCTGGGATGAAGGGGTTTCCCAGGACATGAGATTTTCAGTGTTAAAGCTGGGAGAGTTCTGGGCAGCCTGGGACAAGTTGGTCACCCCCAACTGTGGTATATAGGCTAAACTGGAAAGAAGAATGTTGGAACAGGGGAAACAGTTAGAAGTCTATTGTATGGCTTGTGTTAGAAGCAAGTCAGGGGCTTTGAGCTGGATGCAGCAGATCAAAACTATGGGAAACTGTATAGATGATAGAAGGAAAGAAAAGCTATGTTTGGGCACAGATCAGATGAGGAGCAGAGAAAGTGAGAATGTTAGAAGAGGCTCCAAGTCGTAAAGCTCAGAAAATTGCAAGAACTGTGAGGTACTGAAGAAATGTAACTTCTAAATGGGGCCTGTTGGGGCCTAAGACTCAGTACCCCCCAGCATTCCACAGGAATTCTGCTCTTTCAAGCCCTGTTACCTTTGCTCTGGCTTGCAGCCTGTGCCCTTGGAGCTCTCCAGCACTGGTCAGGGCTTGCTTATGTCTGTTTATAAATCCTGAGAACTGGGTCATGCTAAGATTCTCTTTCTGCTTTCTCATCTCTTACTTGGTGCTGTTCAATTACGACGATTCTCACCTACTAGGACTGAAGACTTAGGGAAGGTGTAGTTGACACTAGAGGTAGATGAGTGGCATGGTGGGTAGTGATAGAGGTAAAGGTCACAGCCCGTGGTAGGGAACAGGTGTGCTGTGGCTGCTTTCTGTTCCAAGGCTCCCTAGCAACCTTTTCTTTCAGTTAGATGGGCATTTCTCTCTACTGATGCTGCGGCGGGGGGGGGGGGGGATCGTGTTTTTCACAGTAAGATCTGCTGTGTGTGCATCCATTTAACACTCAGTAATTCCTCTAGGATGATTAGAGAACTGTGATGATTGGCCATTCAGTGAATCAGTGGGTATTTGAGAGTGAATGGGAGCTCCTTTTGTAGGCACTGAGATAAAAGTCAACTCCTGTTTTTGAAGACTTCAGTCTCCCGGAGAGGAGGATATACAGGGTCATTCTCAGTGGTTCAAATTCCTTCACAGGTGTTACTGTCATTGACAGGGTAGGGAGAGGTTATTAGTGGGAGGAAGGGGAGGTGCAGGGCCTAGAAAAAGTCCATACTGCATTGAAGGAATTATAGAGGGCACTGGGTAATTTGGGGCAAATCACTTAACTTTCTGGCCTTGGGTTTCTTCATCTACAAAAGGACAAGTTTGGAGCTTTCTTTCGGCAGTAACATTTTGAGATTCTGTGATTCCAGTCTTAGGGTTTAGCAGGGACTTTAGAGGTAATATTCTAACTTTGCCCTATTCACAAATTTGATGAGGTCCTTAGGATTTTGTGCTTCTCAGTCTTCCTGTGTGGAAAATGAAGAAGGCAATCGTGGCTGCTCTGTTACTTCATTAACATTTGGAAATTTTGTGAAGACCACATTATTTTTGTTCATTTTCAGTGTTCATTGATGCTTTTAATGCAGTTATGTTGGAGTGTGGCCTTGTGTCTCAAAGGCAAGTGGTTTTTAAACTATAATTTATTGAGGTCTTATATGGTAGGCTCTGTGTGCGTGTGTGTGTGCGGGCACGCGGTGCTGGGGATTGAAGCTGGTGCTTTCAAACAGAGCTACATCCCCAACCCACATTCCTTTACATTTTTTTAAAATTTTGAGTTAAGGTCTCTCTAAGTTTCCCAGGCTGAGCTTGAACTTTGAATCCTCCTGCCTTAGCTTCCCAGAGTGCTGGGATTACAGGCCTGTGTCACCATGCCCAGCTATGTCAGGTGTTTTATATATGTTATTCTGTTTAATTCTCAGAACAAACCATGAAAAAGGAATATAATCTGCATTTTCCAAATGTGGAAATTGAGGGTCAGAGGCCGGTCAATAGCTTGCTCGAGTTCATGCAGCTTTCAGTTGGCTAAGCTGAGGTTTGAACTCATGTCTTCCTCATTCCAAAGCTCTTGTTTGCAACCCCTATGTTATACTGTTTCTTTCAGAGCAGAGCTGATAATTGCCCATTCCTCAATGAGGGAAATATCTTTCCACATAGACTGAAGTGAGTAAGAACAGAGTAACTTCTTAATGACATGCTATGAAGAAATCCAGCCTTGAAATGAGAAATTCCTGACACTTACCCAGTCAAATATTTATTGTTTACCTATGCTTCTCCAGTACCGAAATGGCTCCAACACTGAAGGAGCTTGGAATCTATTTGGGAAGAGAAGACAGAAGCTTATACTTCTATAAAAAAAAAACCCTATATAGAAAATCTCCCTTTCTGTGTTTACAATAGATGGCTCTGAGGCTTGCTTTGGAATGAGACCGAAGAAGTTCCACTTACCTATTCTGTTCAGGTATCGACTCTATTGAAAGTCTTTGCTGCTTATTTACCATGAAATAAAGAAGTATCTAGCGGGTGTGACAGGTATAGTTTTAAGCTAATGGAATTTTCTGGGAGTTTCCTTCTCATATTTTGGCCAAACCATTAAGGGTAATTATTATGGAACTCTCAAATTTATTTTTCCTTCTTTTGAGACCCTTGATGCTGGTTTAGTGAGATTAAAGCCCACAAGATCCAAATGGTGAGTATCTGTATTGGGAGGGAAGGCCCCTGTAAAACGCCGGGGTGGGCGCTTCATTTCAGCTGGCCCTTTGACCTTCAGCAAGTGGAGAAATTGCACCCAAGGCAAATGAATACTTCCCCCGGAGAGGAGTGGGCCTGCTTAAGAGACGTGAAACCCTTTGAGATTTCTTGATGTTGAAAGGTCTCTTATTATCATCTGCACAAATATGTTTCTATTTAGACATCTTTCCTGGCAGGTGAATTATCTTCTTGTTAATTATAGGCCACTTTCTTATTAATGACTTCTATCAGAGTCAGTGGTTTCTGAAGAAAATACTGGCCTCAGCACCATTTGAGCTTTGTCAGAAAATGTGTTCTGAGCCAAAGGAAGGGGAGCCTAGGTGCCTGGGGGTCTAGTGCACAGGTTTGAGTCTGGGGATGTGCTCCTCATGCTCAGTGTGTAGCCCAACCTCTTCTGCTAGATGATTCTGGTTTTGGATACAAGAGGTTGCCATCCCTCCCCTCCCCAATATATCAAGTTGTATTGTGAGCCCAAAAGAAATGATCTAGAAAGTCTCCCAAGTCATTGCTGAGTACAGCCTGTGGGATTTCAGGTAACTCCTAAAACATGGTTAATAATGCTATAAACAGATGTCTTTAAAGTGGCTGTGGCAGAATTCAAATCATTCATGTCAGGTTTCTGAGTTTATTCTTTTTGCTATCAGCCATATTGAGATCTGATTCATATTCCTTATAATTTGCCAATTGAAAAGTATACATTCATGCTTTTTGAGTACTGCGCAAACATCACTAAAATCTAATTTTAGGAAATTTTCGTTTCCCCAAAAGAAATCCTATGCCAATTAGCAGTCATCCCCCATTCTGACCTCTTCCAGTCCCTGGAAACTATGAATCTACTTTCTATCTCTACAGATTTGCCTCTTCTGGACATCATATGGAA